GAGTTTAAATTAATTATTTAATTTAATTATTTTACTTATTTATGTCTTCATTTTTCTTACTAATGTAGTAATAATTAGGGAAGGTAAACTTTTTTATACTACAAGAGCATGGAAAGTCTTGAATTGAGATTATTTCTCTATTTTAGTATTTCTTGGCCATGTTAAGTGTGGTTTAAAGCAGCCCGTACTCTGAAGAACAGGCGTTCCATGAGCTGATGTGCCTTAACTCCAGAATATTATGCAGGGTTCTATTGTTAATATTTCTCTCCTTGTGACAGTTCCGCCGTAGAACGTGGCACCACTTTAGCAGAATAACAAACATCAACCGCTGAATGTATTAATACTGTGGAAAGCAATTTAGTATTATATCGTCGTAAATTATGTCCCTTTACTAGCAGGTTATTTTATTATGACAAAGACTTCAATTTTATCTGTTCTCATGGATGTGAGGATTTATTGTTTGTGCAAGGTGCCAGCGTACTTGAGAAATGATGAGAATAGTTCACCCAGAGAATAAAATGTCTGTCTCTCAGAAGGAGGGCAGGATGAATTCAGACATAAACTGGTTACGGAGAAGAAAAAGTGAAAGAAACCGTGGTAAAGATGTAGGTCACTAGGTCAAATCAACAGGTCAGAGAGGGCTGTCAATGAGAGAAGCTTAAATAATAGTTATTGATCAAGGAGAACCAGTGACCGCTACCCTGATGGTCAATAAATTCAGACCCTGCAGTTAAGGATTTATTGAGCATTAAAGTTCTTGAAATAAATAGGAAAAGAATGAGTATTTCTACTTTGTGTTTGAAGTTGGGCCTGTATTTGAAGTTGAGACTATATCTGAAGTCAAACCTGAATTTAGGTTGTGTCCTTAATGTTTGGGTACTCAGCTGCACTGAGGTGTGGGCCTAGGAATATGTTGTGGGAAAAATCTGGAGTCTGTACTATTCCTTGGCATAGATGAAATAGCTCATTCACCACCTCTCAGCATGCTTGTCCAACCAGTGTTAGTTTGATAAATTGACTATATAGTCCTTTCTCCAGGGTCTCGGCGTCACCTCCTGCAAAAGGAGCTGGGATTTTAGGCAGACATAGCTCAAACTTACTTTGTAATATTAAGGATACACAGCACTGAGGTATTAGTTTTGGGCTGAAGTTTATTTTCAGTGCTTCGGATACAGATACAGACTCAGGTTCTAGCAAACCCACAAAATAAATTAAAAGCACCTTTGGAAGCGGTCTAATATAGCCTAAGTCTGCCCACTTCTGTGTGAGTTCTGATGCCCTCTTCCCCTCTCCGCCTAAATCCAACCACCAGAAAATTACTGAAAATGCCTGCTTTTTCATGGAAATAGAGAAGAACCTAATGAATTCTGAGACCACCAAGTTTAGACAGTCCTAAAAAGTAAGCAGAATAGCTGGGCAGTGCGTGTAGCTAAATATCTGAATTTAAGATAGATGAGATTTAAGTGGGTCCTGCCTCCTTCCTTTTTTGGGGTTGCATATCTAAATACAAAATTTTCTTTGGAGTAAACTATGATTATCAGAAGGAACAAAGTCTGTTAGAGCAGACTGGATGGCCATGGAAAAGCTGTGTTCCTAACTTTTCACTATCTTGCAATGGAATGGAAATACCTTTTATTTGAACCCACGATAGACTTGATATACAATAGGCCTTTCACATAATTAAACAATTGTCCCAGTTGTGATTTTTAAAAGTGATGTTTTCTCTTCTGTGTTGACTTTAGCAAAATCAGATGCACTTGTCAAATAGATTATTTATCACAGTCTAATTCTGTTATGCCTCCAAAATATCCTCCTGGATAAAGCAGTGTGAAGACATAGTCAAGAGCTAGCTCCATCTCTAAGGCTAGGGATGAGCAGTAAAGAACTGCAGACGAGAATGATGAAGCTCAAGGGTTTTATTTTAACAGAAATTTTCCCTCCTGCCCCAAGCTTTCCATGCTTGTGTTTGCTTCTGGACTTTGTTACCGTATGCCCGCACAGTGTAAAAGAGTCAAGAATTTGCATACCCTCCATGTTAAACTATTGTTAATGAGTATTGCCTACATGCTTCACATCACTCAAATGTACCACGATACGAATTTTGGCAGGATGCATGTGGTGTTTTTACAAGGAACATTCTGGGGTTATTTAGTCTGGAGAAAAGGAGGCTGAGGGGAGACCTTATTGCCCTCTACAACTACCTGAAAGGAGGGTGTAGCCAGGTGGAGGTCGGCCTCTTCTCCCTGGTAATGGGCAATAGGATGAGGGGAAATGGTCTGAAGTTGTGCCAGGGGAGGTTTAGGTTGGACATTAGAAAAAAATTTTTCACCATAAAGGTTGTCAAGCACTGGAAGGGGCTGCCCAGGGAAGGGGTCGAGTCCCCCACACCTGGGGGGATTTAAAAGCCAGACAGACGAGGTGCTTAGGGCCAGGGTTTAGTGGTGGGGTGGCAGGGTTAGGGGAATGGCTGGGTTTGATGATCTTAAAGGTCTTTTCTAACCTAACAATTCTGTGATTCTATACCTGTGTTCACACGCAGTTTTACATGTACGTAGGAGAAACATGGATAAAAGTATACTTCTAAGCAATTATTTGGTTAAAGACTCAACGGCTGTGTCTAAACTATTTGTTCAAAGGCTGTCTTCACAATGGACTAAGGAGCACTTCCCAGCTCGCTGCTGTAGGCTCCCTCTCATCTGTGACCTGACTGTTGGGATGAGAGGTGGGCATGCACTGTCCCCCTTACATGTGCTCTGACTTCTGTTGAGGAGGACACTTGACCATCAGGGATTGCTGATGTTCTCTAGTTACATTCTTGTTCTGGACAATGATGGGACCACAGCTGCCATTTGTACCATGCAACATAGCCAGGGTGATGTGTAAAAACTGTCCCACCCTGTATCAGTTGACTAGACATAGGGGCATAATTACTGAAGAACTTCCCGGACTTAATTGAGATAAAACAGTGACATCAGGTACAGAAATGCACTCTAGTTTAAATCACTGTTAGGTCAGTGATATGTGAGTGCATGAAAAATTTCTCTCAAATGAGAATTCTAGGTTGTTCTGTCTGCAAAACTGGGAGGGAATTTCAAGAGATGTCCTCCAGCAGTTCGCCACCAGCCTAATTTAGCTGAGAACCCAAGTCTAATGGCCATAGCTATCTCTGTAGTCAAGGGAGAATGACTGTAATTTGAATGGCAATTTTTATCTTCTGCAGGCTGAATTGTCCTCAGGAGATGCCTGCTTCTTCCCATGGTCTCCAGGAGCAGGCTAGGCTCATAATTTATGCGGCTTTCTTGAGCACCTGAATTAGAAGGAGAAATCTGCATCATTACTTCTGGTTTTTTGGTGCATTACAACTGCAGAGACAGGAATTGGTCAAAAGAAGTTACGTTAATTTGAAGCTAATCCCTGAAGTTTCAGAGAAAGCATATGCCTTTGTGCACCATCGTAGTTGATAGAAGGGGCTGCTTTGTTCTTCTACCTGTTCATTGAAGGAACATTTCTGTAATTTTTTTAACCTGTCATATCTGCAGTGTTATCAATAGAAAACCCATTGTGGATCATTGATTTCTAAGTCTATTTAATATTTAGCTTATTTTTTATTGCCTTTAATTTCAAATGTTTTAGTAAGGGAATTATAAAAGGAAGTATATGATTGCTGAGATAGAAAATACATTGCCCATAGTCAGGGATAAGCTAAGCAATACTAGAGTGTATATGACATGTTTCAGCTTTAGAGGGTTCTCCAAATCGTAGCTAACGTCTCTTAACCGTGTAAGCCATCAGAGAATGTTAGTGTTGTGGTTGAACCCCAGCCGGCACATACGCCCCACCTAGCCGCTCGCTCACTCCCCCCACAGTGGGATGGGGGAGAGAATTGGAAGAGTAAAAGTGAGAAAACTCGTGGGTTGGGGTAAAGACAGTGTAACAGGTAAAGCAAAAGCCGCAGAAGCAAGCAAAGCAAAGCAAGGAATTCATTCACCGCTTCCCATCAGCAGGCCATCTCCAGTTCAGCCATCCCCAGGACAGCAGGGCTCCATCACGTGGAATGGTGACTTGGGAAGACAAATGCCATCACTCCCAACGTCCCCCCCTTCCTTCTTCTTCCCCCAGCTTTATGTGCTGAGCATGACGGGGGGTCAGTTGGGGTCAGCTGTCCTGGCCGTGTCCCCTCCCAGCTCCTTGTGCCCCCCCAGCCCCTCGCTGGCAGGAACCAACACATCCTTGGGTTATCAACACTGTTCCCAGCACAAATCCAAAATATAGCCCCATACTAGGTATTATGGAGCAAATTAACTCTATCCCAGCCCAGACCAGCACAGTTAGTCGTCTTTGTTCCTTCCCTCTGGATTTCATACAATGTGCTTTATTCCTGTTATCAGGAGAGTTTTGCTAATTTACACCGGTTGATAGTTGGCTGTTCTTTGATAATTGGCCACGTGGGTGAACGACTACCAAAATTTTGTCTGAACATCAAATATGTGCATGCATAAATTGTTAAACCAAAGCATTTTTCCTCCTGTATAGCATATAATTTGATCCATTATTACTGCCACCTTTAAAGACTGCATATGCCCGAAAGCAGAAAATTAAAAAACTGTTTGCCATTAATACAAATTATTGTGTTTTGACAGCTTGCTAATAAACTATAGTAAAAATCATGCTGTACAAATAGCCCAATTGCCTTTTAAGTAACTTTTTTTTTTATATGCATGAGAATTCTCCTTGTCTGGGCCTTTGAACCCTTATAGGATTTGTCCTCCGTGATATGTTAATATTCAGAAGCATAAATAAAGCTTTATTTGAGTTGTGCTCTAGTGCAGAATGGATTTCTTGGTGTAGTTATTCTATGAGTAATCTTGGGAAATATTTGACCATCATGTGCTGGCTATCGAAGTTCCTTCCACCATGGACTGTGTCAATTAATGTGCAAATACGTGATTTCGCATTGAGCAGATTTTGACATACCGATATGTGTTTTATGTAATATTCAGGTATGGGCTGTTTCTGGGGAGCCGAGAGGAAGTTTTGGAGACAGAAGGGAGTCTACTCCACTCAAGTGGGTTACGCAGGAGGGTATACTCCAAATCCTACCTACAAAGAGGTCTGTTCAGGTAAGCCTTTTGCTTTGGTTTTTAAGGGTTGTGAGTAGAATCCTGTCAGATTATGAGTGACAATGAAGAGGAAAATGAGTGACTGCAGCGAATAAAGAAAGATTGGGTATTTAGTCAACCTTGATGTTGGTCTTGCATCCTAAACCATTACGGAATCTATGGTATGTTCATCCCATTGTGATCTTCTAATAATGAATGAGTTAATGCATGTACAAATATTCTGAGGCAAAAGAAAAAAATAGGTTCTTCAGAAAATGAATTCTGTGTCTAATGATGCCAACGTGTTCCTTCTTAGAAAAAGCATGAGTTTTGATTTTACTTGGGCCTGTATCTGCGTATGAACAAAAATCAGAAAGCACGCATTCTTTCTTTTTCCATATAACCAAGAGGTTGCACGGAGAAGTCTGAATTTCTCATTTGCGTTATTATTATTAATTTGTTAAATTTTTATACAGCTCAGTGCACAGCATCCTATCATTTCCATGCCAAACCCTTGCATTTATTTTTCATTGCACTCTTATACTAATCCCTCTACAGTCCTAATAACCCAATACAGTTTCTTCCTGTGATCTAAAACATAGAACCACTGGCAGCCAACTGACTAATGTTGCTGTTAAAGCAAATTCTTGCTTTCCTATACTCGCTAGTGGAGAACAGCTTGGAGGTTTTCTTTTGGTTTATTTTCTTGTTAACACTTTTTATGCCAAATGCTGAAGTTGATACGCTGTTCTTACTGACAATCTGTCACATAGGCTTGATGGGAAGAGTGTAAAAGGTTCAGTGGCACAAACAAGTAATGGACACTTTAGCAACTGTGGAGAAGTGCTGCAAGGCACCTGAAAAAGCAGAAAGTTGCTGGAAATAGGAAAAAATGTGGAAAGAGGTGTTTTAAGATGATATTTTATAGATAATACTGAACTTATAAGAAATGGTCTTATAAATGCTAAAGGAAACATATGGATTAGGGAGGATTCCTGGTGGGAACTTACAGCAGTATGCATGCTCCCGAGTGCAAAAGTTTAGTGTATAGAAATTAAAAAATATCTAGAAAAAAAAAAGGATACTGCATCTTTAGCACTGATGCACAGATACCCAGAACTCCTGCAAAACGTAGCCATAAGAAGCTTCGTTTGTGGAAGGATCAGTGATGCCAATCTTATTTATCCAAATCATAGAATCAGTTATAGAATCATAGAATGTTTTGAGTTGGAAGGGACCCCTAGAGGTCATCTAGTCCAACCCCCCTGCAGGAGCAGGGACACCGCTAACCAGATCAGGTTGCTCAGAGCCCCGTCCAACCTGGTTTTGAATGTTTCCAGGAATGGGGCCTCCACCACCTCTCTGGGCAGCCTGTTCCAGTGTTTCACCACCCTCATTGTAAAGAATTTCTTCCTTATATCTAGTCTAAACCTACCCTGGTTTAGTTTAAAACCATTACCCCTTGTCTTGTCACTGCTGGCCCTACTAAAAAGATTTTCCCCATCTTTCCTATAGGCCCCCTTTAGGTATTGAAAGGCCGCAATCAGGTCTCCCCGCAGCCTTCTCTTCTCCAGGCTGAACAAGCCCAACTCCCTCAGCCTGTCCTCATAGGAGAGGTGCTCCAGCCCCCGGATCATTTTTGTGGCCCTCCTCTGGCCCCGCTCCAACAGGTCCATGTCCTTCTTGTGCTGAGGGCTCCAGAGCTGGACGCAGGGCTCCAGGGGAGGTCTCCCCAGAGCAGAGTAGAGGGGCAGAATCACCTCCCTTGACCTGCTGGCCACGCTTCTCCCAGTGCAGCCCAGAGTACAACCGTACTGGGCTGCAAATGGTCCATTACTTCCTAATACTTCTGCACTCTTGTATTTCGTACTTTCATCATTTGCCTGCACTATCTGTAACTGTTATAAACATATATGGTTCAAGACCTACCTGGTAATTATTGTCCACTCTGTTTAATCACCTGGGTGTTAAATAATTAAATTTTTTATATAGAATAGGGATGTGCAGCACAACTTCTCTTTCCCAACATGCTCATGGTTCCAGTACGCCGAGGGTAGTTACGATGGACTGTTGAGTGTTTCTCCAAAGATGCTGAGTGCTGTCTGTTGGCCAGGGGGAGATGTGAACGCAGGACAAGGTGGTGTGGCCAGGGAAGTAGAAAAAAGGTACCCTCTCTTTTAATTCTGTGCAGTATTGGCTGGCTTTCTACTTCAGAATAGCTCCATAGTTTTGTGAGCTTTGCGATCGATTGAGAAACTCCAAAGGCTTTTTGTAGCTACTTAATGTGTTGTATTTTATCAATAATGAACAAAAATAAAAATGGTAATTAAATAATAAGAATCCTGGAATAAAGAAATGGGAAAAATCTTTGAAGTCTATTTTTTGGTAGTTTTTTTAGTTAGATTTGTAGTACAAAAACACAGCTGACGTTATTTTTCTAGTGCTTGTTTTTATACACATTTGCATTACGGATGTTTATATGACTCCAGATGCTGGACACTGGGGGATTTTTTGCTCAGAGATATCCAGAAGCATAAGCACATATTTCATAGCCTTGTCTGTGTGAATATAATTGGGATGCGTATATGCTGCACATTTCTGTTCCTAGTTGTGCAGCTGAGCGGAGTTGGAGAATGTACTGATTTCTGCATGCTATTTTTTTCCTACTCAGCTTCCTCTAGCCCTATTTTATTCTGATTTTATTTTGATTTTTTTTTGGCAGTTTTTTTTTTTTTTTCATCTTTGAATGTACTTTTTGGAAGTCTCTTTAAAGAGAGCTCTCACAAGCTCCCCTAAGATATTGCCATCTGGCTGCTTCTAGTTGCCATCGTTTTCATTGGGAAGAACAGTTCTTATGAAATAGTAGACTTCAGTTATGCACTGTGTGATTGCACTTTCTTATTCATCTATTCTGGCAAGATCATATCTATGGTAAGCACTTAACAGTCATGTCCTCTAAATAGAATCATAGAATCATAGAATCATAGAATGTTTTGGGTTGGAAGGGACCCCTAGAGGTCACCCAGCCCAACCCCCCCACGGGGAGCAGGGACACCTTGAACCACATCAGGTTGCTCACAGCCCCGTCCAACCTGGCCTTGAATGTTCCCAGAGATGGGGCCTCCACCCCCTCTCTGGGCAACCCCTGACAGGGTTTCACCACCCTCACTGGAAAGAATTTCTTCCTTACATCCAGTCTAAACCTCTCATGCTTCAGTATAAAACCATCACCCCTTGTCCTGTCCCAGCTGGCCCTGCTAAAAAGCTTGTCCCCCCCTTTCCTCTGGGCCCCCTTGAAGCCCTGACCGGCTGCACTCAGCTCTGCCCACAGCCTTCTCTTCTCCAGGCTGAACACCCCCAACTCTCCCAGCCTGGCCTCAGAGCAGAGGGGCTCCAGCCCTCGCAGCATTTTAGTAGCCCTCCTCTGGGCCCGCTCCAGCAGGTCCATGTCCTTCTGGTGCTGAGGGCTCCAGAGCTGGATGCAGGGCTCCAGCTCTAGAAAGGATATCAGGGCTGTGTAAACAGCGTCCACTTGGCAAGTCTTTGAGCTTTGCTTTCAGCCCATGGAGTCCTGAGAATCTGTGCAGGAAAGTTATTTTAGTCCCACACCTTTCTGGCACTCTGAAGAAAAAAAGCAGCAATTCTTTGGATGAAACATTTAGCACTTCTTCTAAAAGCACATTATCAGCTAGACCTCAGGCAAAATGGTACGGATTTACTCTTTTCCCCATGCTAAGGTCACTCAAAACATATCAACCAATGGTGGTTTTTTTGATTCAGCTGCCTAAATGTAGGATTTCATGCTGTTTGAGGTGTCTGAGAATGCTCCATGTGCCATGCTACAGACACATCTGACCGTTTTTCATGGATGCCCAAGCTGCCCTTGGACATCTCAAAAGTAACTGGATGCCTATATGTGAACAACTAATTCAAATCCAAGGTATCTCTATGTACATTCACTATCCATACTTCCATCTGGAGCTAAGGGCGCTGTTGATTTATGTGCATGTGGAGGCAGGGGAGAGCGTGCCTGCTGAGGCATAAGGTTTTCCAATCTCTTGTCCTTGGATGTTCTTCAATGCATGTGCGGTTTTGATCATGTATCTATCTGATCCATGCGTGTTATCACAGAATCATAAAATCATAGAATGGTTTAGGTTGGAAAAGGACCTTTAATATCATCTAGTTCCAAATCCTCCTGCTGTGGGCAAGGACATTTTTCACTAGATTAAGATGCTCAAAGCCCCATCCAACCCCACCTTGAACACTTCCAATGTTGAAACATCCACAGCTTCCCTGGGCAACCTGTTCCAGTGTCTTACCACCCTCATTGTAGAAAATTTCTCCCTTACATCTAATCTAAATCTACCCTCTTTCAGTTTAAAATGGTTACTCCTTCTCCTGTCACTACAGACCTTGATAAAACATCTTTCTCCATATTTCCAATAAGGCCTTTTATGTAGTGAAATTCCTCAATAAGGTCTCCCTGGAGCCTTCTAATCTCCAGGCTGAACAGCAACTCTCTCAGCCTTTCTTTATCAGAGAAGTTTTCTGTCCCTCTGACCATTTTCTTGGCCTCCTCTGGACCTGCTCTAACAGGTCCATATCTTTCTTGTACTGGAGACCCCAGAGCTGGATGCCATACTCCTGGAGAGGTCTCACAAGAGTGAAGTAGAGGGGGAGAATCACCTGCCTTGACCTGCTGGCCCTGCTTCTTTTTATGCAGCCCAGGGTACAATTGGCTACCTATGTGGTCTGAAAGCACACATTGCTTGCTCATATCTAATTTTTCATCTACCAGTATCCCCAAGTCCTTCTCTGCGGGGCTGCTCTCCATCCATCCATCACTCAGTCTGTACTGTTAATGGGGATTGCCCTGACCCAGGTGCAAGACCTTGCACTTGGCCTTGGTGAACTACATGGGGTTCGCATTGGCTCACTTCCTAAGCCTGTCAAAGTCCTCTGGATGGCATCCCTTCCTTCAAGCGTACCAACTGCAGATTCAGCTTGTGTTGTCCACA